ACATCCAAATTCACAGATCCATAGATTAACAGCTACTACCCTTGAAACACACAGAAGTAAAAACTGCACACTTCATCTAATGTTTTCCAGGAGAGGAGAATCTTTCATAGATCAGAAAATGTGCCCACCACCTGAAGTGTGTGCATTTTGTTTCCACACAAGATGTTATCAGAACAAAGAAGCTGTAATAACATCAAAAGAAAAATATGTAACTGTAGTTTACTTCACCAGAACAAGCAAACCTACCAAGAGAGAACTAAATGGCACAATGCATGTTAAGAATCTGAGATTCCGTAGTAACTAAAACTGACCAAAAAAAGGAATAGGGAAAAAAAATCTGCAACAACTATGTAACTTACTTTTCATTTCCTAAGAAAGTAGTTAAGATTGCTATACACTTAGAAATGACTCACCAGACTTCTGGACACGAGTGTTGGAGGCATGGAGATTCCTTGCAGCAATGAAGGATGATCCCAAAGCATTTTTGGAGACCTAGGGCAAAAATATTTTTTTAAATCTGCTTTTTTAAAAATTTACTTATTTTTAGAGAGGGAGGAAGGGAAGGAGAAAGAGAAATCCATGTGCAGGAGAAACATTGACCAGTTGCCTCTTGCACGCCCTCAACCCCAGACCTGGCCTGCAATCAACCCAGGCATGTGCCTGGGAAACAAACGGTGACCTCTCAGTTTGCAGGACAACACCCAACCCACTGAGCCACACCAGTCAGGGTTCAATCTGATTTTTAAAAAGGCCTTCGTAAAACTGGCAAGCTTGAACGCAGGCTTAGCTTAACCAAGTTATCAATTAAAATACTAATTATACTCACATTATTATTTAAAGATGCTTAAAATTGAAAGACAATTAGGCAGGTAAGAAAGTAACTTTAGATATGTGAAAATCTATTATGCGATTCCTGGTACACTGTAAGTATATGAAACAGTTAACAAAGTATCTTTCCCTTTATCAGTACTACTATTTCCACTCAAGGGATATCTCATTTGATTTGGGGAAATTGTCAGTAAGATAAACTGCTTCCTAAAAGGTGCAAATTCAATAGATTACCTATTTTAAAAAACAAATTTTAAAAATCGAGCGAACAAAAAACTGTCAATGTTGGAAATTGAGGCATGGCATATGCAACTTTTTTTTTTTTAACCGCCTTCAATCTGTATCATGTCTGGGCCCCTCCTTCTCCGAAGTTTAATACTGTGATTGGCCACGGTCCATTCTGAAGTTTCCACAGGACCTGGATGAAAATTGTTAAAAATGTTTTTTTGCTAAAAGAAACCCAGAGTGCTACCAGCGGTTGTGTTAGCGCAGCACCATGTCCAGTATGTTTACCTTTCAAACTGAGACCAATTTTAACATGGAAAAGGAAAAGTGTAGAAATGCTTACATAGGATTTAAGTAGGTTAACTTCCAGAGAGGTAATGAAGGGCATTGACCTTTACAGATATTTTCCAACCTATGTTCTATTCTCCTTGAGTTCTGGATCACTAACAATTCCTCAAGGACGAAATCTTAAAACATGTCCAAGTACCACAAAGCAACGTCGTCTCTAGCAGAAGACAATGTAGAAGCCAGCTTCACTGTTGTCACGGCAGCGGCCACATGAAATGCATACTTGCCCCTGTGCGCTGTTTTCACAACCGTTTCAGTACTCAGCACTAAGAGATCACCTACTTAAGTATTCAGAAAATCACCTTTATTGCTCTCCTCTGAACCGACCTCCAGGCAGAGGTGGAAAGCCGGGACCCGCTGACCTTCAAACAATGTCAGGCTTCCCCAGCTCGCCTGACCTTCAGCGAGGGAGTGCCGGAGAATCAGCCTGGCCCGGCCTCGAGGTTTCGGAGCAGGCTTCGGACTGGGCCCAAGCCCTTTCCTTCCCCCAAGACCCCTCGAAGGCCGCTCTCAACTGAAGACGGAAATTCTCCTGAGTCCCCAGCTCCGGACAGCATCAAGGTCACTGCCTTTCCCGCACCACTTTGCACCATCCCGCACCGATGACGAACGCAAGGGCCCTTTCGCCCCCCGCCCTGCCCTGTGCGGCCAGGCCGGAGCAGCCAACAGTGCAAGATGGCGGCGTCCGCCACAGCCCCTCACCCTCCTTGCAGAAGAGCTCCCAAACTGCAGCAGCACGACCAACTCATTGCAATCCCTACCGGGCCACCTTCCACCCGCTGATGCCCCGCGCTCACCAGCCCGGCTCGCCGAGGGAGGGCGCGGGCCACGGCCGCGGCGACGCGCACGGACAACATCTTCGCAGCTCCCAGGTGGTTCCTCTGCAGCCGCAGCCTCCGGACTGACTGGGACAAAATGGCTGAGCGGCGAGGAAGGTCAAGGGAGCCAGCCTAGTTAACCCGGAAGTACTGCCCCTCGCGTTCACCTCCGGGCGCAAACTACCTTTTGCGGGACGTGGGGGCGGTTACTTTTTCTTTTTAAGTATTATTTTTAGAGTTAAACTTAAAAATAAGTGATTAAACCTGTTCCAGCTTCCGCCCAGGCATTGGCTACACATTTACTTTGGCCTTTGGAGTTGACCTTGTGGCTGCCCCGGGCGACCACGTGTGTAGCGGAACCAGCTATGAAGCAGTTTCCTGGCCGTACGCCGGGTGCGAGGTGATGGTGACACCTCGTCTGAGGGCGCTGCCGGCTCGACCGTGAGGCGGGTTGATGGTGACTGGTCCGAGGCTACTGCTATTAAACAGTGTCGGCCGCAGGGCGTCTTCTGCCGAGAGAGGTGACACTCAGATTGACGGAGCCCCACGCTTGACCCTCCGAGTCTATCTGAATATTGACAAGCACCGACACCGACACGCCCTCAAGTTGGAGAACCGCTGTTCCTTTGAATCCTATCTAAGAATTAGAGAAAATTGTTTTAACACTGTAACATGCACAAGGAGTTCGAGCAGAGTGATTGCCAATCCTGCTGAGAAGAATGGTATAAAATCAGAGGTCTCACTCCAGACTGGACTAGGGCTCAAGCTTTCCTTTACTAGTAACTGGTTTCATTACAGTAGGAACTTGGCTTTTTCATTTGGAGTACAACGGAAATAATGAAAATAACTTCTGTACCTTCCCAGTAAGATTGCAATGGGACTCCCCTCCCACGCGCGCACACACACACACACACACAGAATTTTTCTGATTCTAAGATTTTTGTGATATGTAGAGAATTTAGAGGCAATGTTGGATATTTTGTGATAGTGGAGACTATCAACGTGGACTTCACCTGTTTCTGAGATGTATCTAAGCCTCACAACAAATCCTGGTTTACACCCGTCTTAATGGGGCCTGGATATGAGCTTAAAAAGGTCATCTCCTAAAACATAGCTTGCTAATGTATGGTCAGCAATCCCTTTCTCTAATACTCTATTTCCAGTACAAGGCAAACCATGAATGAGTAAATATGACAATTCTTTTCCTGGGAATCTAGTGGGAATAGGTCGGTAGGAATAAGAAAAAATTTGGTTGTACAAATAAAAGTGCAGGGATATTTTGTCAAATATGTAGTAATGAACGTGGACAAAGGGCATTAAGATAAGTTTTTCCCCCATACTCATAGGCTGTACCAACTTATCTGAAATTTGGTTAATAAGTAAAGATATTTAACTGAAACAAAAATAATCAGAAAGTTATACAATGTGGTATTGGCTAGTTAATAAAATTCCTTTGAAAAGAAAGGTTTAATCATTTTAAATATGACTGTGACTGCATGTGACTTCATGCAGCCGCAGCCTCATGCATAGGAATACGCATGTGACTGACCAGATAATGTAGACAAAAACCAGGCACACGTGTCATCCACTCAAGACGGGCTGGTCACCAAGAGGGGTCTGTACAGAATACCATTGTCCTGGTCAAAGTACCACAGTCCAGGGTATAGCCTTCAACTGTGTCAGTTTAGAAACCAGAATAAGTAAACACAATAGAAATGAATCTGATTTTCAGAACAGATTTAGGTAACCCTAAAGAAGTTGTAAAATCAAGACACGAAATTATTACTGTACTTCCTAGGTGCTGAATTGCAACTTTTTTGAATACTTCAATATTTTTAAATAAAAATGTTTCTTATGATGGAAAAATGCATGTGAGTGAAGAGAAAGATAATGGGTGCTACGTCTGATCCACAATTTGATATTGAATCTCCTTATCACAGAAGGTTGAATACATGGTCTACCTTTCCTACGGTAACACAGTCCACTACAAGAGGGTGCGACAGCAGTGTGGAATATATAACCTGGAGAAACTGAAACACCAGACTGGAGCCAAAGCACGGTGGCCAGATTCCAGCTCTGCCACCTAAACTTGGTTGAGTCGTTTAATCTGTGTGTGTGGTTTTCAGGTGAAAATATGTAAAATAATGTATGTCCATCTATGTTATGGGGTTCCTGTAAAAATCAACAAAAATAGGAAAACACAGGAAACTACACATTGCTATAGCAATATAAAGAACCACTCACAGTGCTAACTACAGTGATAGAGGAAGGAGAGAATTTTAGGGAAGACGAGAAATAATGGAAGAATGGCTGAGTGGCAGTGACAGTGTCAGAAGTTGGGTGCTGTCAACCATTTTAAAACAGTCCCCACCACAATTAGCTCTTGGGTAGTGGAAACTAATGAATAAGATTAAGGTTGCTGCAATTTATATTGCCAGGGTAAAATTAAAACAATTTAAGCTAATGCACACAGTGTGGAATAAACACAAGCATCTGCTATCCAAAAAACAAGCTTTAAGCATCTTTTTAAGACAAGCAATTCAAGTGAGAAATAAAAATATAAGGAAACACAGCCTGGTTCTAGGCGATTCTACTTCTGTAGACTATGCCACGGAGAGCGGAGGGCGAGGCGAGATGGCGAGCAAGGAGAGGCTTACAGTGCTGGATTCTTAGAGCAGCCTTTGGCTAAGGGCTCTCAACAGCCTGGAGTCCTACAAAAAAACTACAACTCCCAGAAATCCCGGGCCTTCAAAGAGGGTTGGGACTGCGGTGTGTGGGCGGGGCTTTCAGAGCTGGCAGGGCAATTCTGGGAGTTGGGGCTCGAGAAGTGGCGGGAGCTGCGGCTATGGAATCGCCTGAAGAGAAAGAGGCGCAGGTGATGGAGCGGGAGCGGGCAGCTGCGGCGTCTTAGAAACGGAGACTTTGGCACACCCTACCCGGCGGGCGATCGCCTGCGCGCACCACGTTTAATTACTTCTGCGCTGGTCCATTTTTAGTGCCGCCTTTATGTTGTGCGATCCCTCCTTGCTTGGACCGCGCTGGAAAGGGCCTTTCCCTTCCATCCCCGGCCTTTCCTTGCTTAGTCTCGGGTTTGGAGAGGAGTTGAGTAGCACTCGGGTACAAAATTTCTCCTAAGAGACTGAAGTGGGACTTGCGAACCCCAACCCATGTACCAGCCAAGCCTCGCCGTTCACTGCTGCTTCCTGCTAGATTCTAGTAACTAGAATTTTCATACCTGACCTGCTTCCGCGCCCCGCATCTCAATTCTTCGAGCTTCTCTAGGGCTTGTGTGTTGGGGACAACCCTTTTTTTCTTTTTGCAAGTACGATAATGCTTTAGCACCTTCTTAGTGAGCTTTAACATTATGAATGCTGCAAATTATTAGCCTATATGCTGCTTTTGTAGCTTTGGGATAGGACGGGTCGTTTTCTGGTAATTTTATCCCTTGTGCTTTCTCGCTTCTTGTTTCCTGACATCTAGTATCTATCTCCTTAAAGACAAGTTAGGATGTGAAGTAAATAGGAGGTAGGAGTATTCATCGAAAGCATCTAGTATACTTCTGATGACATCTTTGCAGTATTTGCTTTGTGCCGTTACAGTAAACAAGACATAATTTTAGCTTCCTTTTCATCATTAGGTTGCTGCGTGGTTGAAAAAGATATTTGGAGATCATCCCATTCCGCAGTATGAGGTGAATCCACGGACCACAGAGATTTTACATCACCTTGCAGAACGCAACAGGGTCAGGGACAGGGATGTCCACCTGGTAATAGAGGACTGGAAACAGAAAGCCAGTGAATATGAATCAGAAGGTGAGATTAATTCCCGAGTTTTGAATGAGATAACTAGAGGTAACCAAATTTTATAACACTAAAATCTACAAGATTAATTTAGTATAGACTACTTTTTAGTTTTGCTTCATTTTACCCAGATTTGTCTTCCACTCTGTTGTTATACTAACTTAGTAAGTCATAAATGTCACTATAGTATATGTTTTATTTGTATTCTGATAAAAAAATTAAGCCCTGAAAGATGAGTCTAAACTTATTAGCCTGACACACAAGATGGTATGTGGTTTTTCTCGTACGTATCCTTTCGATCTGTTTCCAGTGCCCATGCTTTAGCTATAATGAGCCATCAGGAGACTTAAAGTGGCAGCCATGAACTGTCATTTTAATATGTTTAATGTCGTTTTACAGTTTAATATGAAGACTTTTTAAAAAATATTTTATTTATTTACTTTTAGAAAGAGGTGAAGGGAGGGAGAAAGAAAGGGAGAGAAACAGCAATATGTGAGAAATACATATTGGAGCTTGGCCCACAACCCAGGCTTGTGCCTGAGTCAAGAATCAAACCAGTGACCTACCGGCTTGCAGGCCGGCACTCAATCTACTGAGCCACTCCAGCCAGGGCTGGAGACTTTTAAATCATGATGAATACAGATGAAACTGTTGAACCCATTCATTCTTCATGCTGCCGATTCTTCCGTTGAGGAGGACAATGAAAAGAAATGGCCCTGGCTAGCACCTCCAAAAAAAGTTGAATAGATGTGACAAGAACGAACATCCTTGTCATGTTCCTGATTTTAGAGGGAAAGCATCCAGTGTTCACTATTAAGCATAATGTTAGCTGTGGGTTTTTTGTAGATGCCCTTTAACAACTCGGGGAAATTTCCTTCTCTTCCTGGTTTGTTGAATGCCATTATCATGAAAGGGTGTTGGATTTTTATCAAATGTTTTTTCTGTGTCTCTTGAGATGATTGTGTGACTTTTGTTTTTTATTCTCTTGATATGATCTATTATATTAATTGACTTTAAGATGTTGAACCAACATTTATCCTTAAGTTAAACCCCCATCCTCGTGGTGTATAGGTTTTTTATAGTTTGCTGCATTCATTTTGCTAGTAATTTGTCAAGAATTTTTCCCTTTTTATTATAAGAGGTATTGGTCTGTAGTTTTCTTTCCTTGTGATGTCTTTGTCTGATTTTGGTATCAGCCCACATTGAAAAAGTTAAGAAATATTTCCTCCCTTCTATTTTTGCAAGAGATGTGAAGAATTGGTACTAATTCTTTGTATACTTGGTAGAATTCAGTGGTAAAGCTATCTGAGTTTGAGCTTTTCTTTGTGGGCAGTTTTTTCATTACTAATTCAGTCTCTTCACTTGTTATAGGCCTGTTTGAACTATCTGTTTGGTCTTTAGTTAGGTTCAGTAATTATTGTCCTTTTCAGAATTTGTCCATTTCATCTCAGTTACATAAGTTGTTAGGTACATTTTTCATAGTATTCCTTTGTAATCCTTTTTATAAAGTAGGTAAGTCAGTGGAATGTCTTCTCTTTCATTTCTGATTCTACTGATTTGAGTTTCTCTTAGTCTAGGTGAGGGTTTTTCATTTCTGTCAATCTTTTCAAAGAACTAGCTTTTAGTTTCTTTGATTTTTTTCCTCTACTGTTTTCCTATTCCCTGTTTCATTCATTTTCATTCCGGTTTTTATTATTTCCTACCTTGGCCTATTTTAGGGTTAGTTTGCTTTTTTCTCAGTGTCTTAAGGAAGGCCACTGATTTGAGGTCTTTCTTTTTTCTTAATACAGGAATCACAGCTACATTTCCCTCGAAGCATTGCTGAAAGGCATCCCATAAGTTTTGGTATGCTGTGTTTTCATTTTCATTCATCTCAAATACTTTCTAATTTCCCCTGTGATTTCTTCTTGACCTGTTGGTTGTTAGAAATATGTTCTTTAATTCTACACAGTCATGAGTTTCCCAAATTTCTTTCTAATTTTATTTCATTTTAGTTAGAGAATACTTTGTATTACTTTGATCCTTTAAATGTACTGAGGTTTGTTTTATGGCCTGCTATAAGGCCATAATGTTTTATATTCACTTGACAAAAATATATACTCTGTTGCTGTTGAGTGGAATGTTCTAAACATGTCTCTTAGGCTAGTTGGTTACACTGTTGTTCAGGTCTTCTGTTTCTCTGTCAGTTTTTATCCGAACTTAACCCCATTGTAAGTCGAGGGACATCTGCACATGAGTATGTCCACAGTCACTCTGAGACGACAGTGGTTTTGGTAGGACTGTCTTCTTCTCATTCACTGACCACACCCAACTGTAAAATTTCACTTATTGACAGCTTTTTTTTTTTTTCCAACAATGCCCTGGGTCATAAATTATTGCTGTACGAGCTAATCCATTCAAATTCTGGCACCCTTAAAGGAATAGTTTCTGAGGTCAGTGTTTCATATTTGTTCTGACTCAAAGATGCATTCTCCTAGATGTCTTATTTTCTGATTTTTCCCTCCAAACTGGGTGGCCTCAGTTTAAACTATATCTTGACTCCTCTCTCAATTACCTTTCACTATAATTTCCACTGATCTTGAGGGTGTCCTTAGGCTTGAACTTCTGCAGGCTCTGTTGCAAATGAAGTCAGTTTTGGGGGGAAGGTATTGGGAGCTATCTGGGTTATGACTTGCATCTTCCTCCAGCCAAAATCTCTGGGCCAAGGCTTTGGAGCTGGAGGTAGAGACTACGGCAAGCTCTTCTTTGAGTGACACCCACAGTATGAACGGGGAGTGCTTGGCAGAGGGGGAGTACAGCAGCCTTTTCTGGTACGGAACCACCATCCCGTGAGCTGGTGTGAGAGTCATCAGGGCCCCAGCACTCTCCGTATGCCTTACCCGAGGGAGAGATTGTATTCCAAGAACATAGCTGGGTAGATAAAGAAAGCCTACACCTCTTAACCACGTTTGCTGAGGACTGAGTCTCAGCCACAGATAGCTCGTGGCAGGACGGAAGCACTGAAGCTCTGTTCCTACTGGAAAGAAAGCCCTCTCTGACTGGGAGCTGGGGGCTGAGGGAGCCCTGTGCTCTGCACGCAACAGTCTAGTGGAGTCTCTGCCTCACTGAGCTGAGAGGGCGGAGGAAAGAGTGGTCGTGGTTCAAATACCACACACTCACGTTTTTTTATTGACTTCTGATAGGTTTTCTTTAATAGTTGTTTCTTCTTTTGCTGTCTGTCCTTGGGACCATATCCAGGGGCTTTCAATGGTTGTGTTTTGTTTTGTTTTATAATTTTCACCAGTTTCACTAGAAAGCAGGTCAGCAGAGCTGTTAGGCTAGAAGTCAAACTCCTAGTCATTTGATTTTCACAAGGGTGACAAGACAATTCAGTGGAGGAAAGACTAACCTTTCCAATGAATGGTGCTGGGATAATTGGACATCCACATAGAAAAGAATGAAGTTGGATTCTGCCTCAGATCATAAATAAGGATTAACTCCAAATGAATGAAAAACCTGTGATAGTAAACCTAAACCTCAGAAGACCACATAGTGTATATGTATATTTTTTCATGACCTTGGATTTGGAAATGGTCTTATCTCTGATACCAAAAACACAGCAACAAAAGAAAAAGTAGGTAACTTGGATATCATGGAAACTAAAATTTTTTGTTCTCAAAGGACACGATTAAGTAAATGAAAAGACAACCCACAGAATGGGAGAAAATATTTGCAAATCATATATCTGATAAGGGACTTGTATCTACAATATATGAAGACCTCTTACATCTCAGTAATGAAAATACAACCCAATTTACAATGGGTAAGAATATGAATACAAGTGGCCAGCAAGCACGGCATCATTAGCCACCAGGGAAATGCAAATCAAATCCACACTTCCACTGCACACCTACGAGGAGGGCTGTAATCAAAAAGATGGATATTCAGGTCTTGATTTATTCCATTGATCATTATTCAATTCTGTGAATGATCACTATACCAAACAAACAAACAAAAAAGACAGATAACACCTGTTGATGAAGATGTGGAGAAATTAACCCTCGTTAATTAACACACTTTCGGTGGGAATGTAAAATCTTGTAGTTTTGAGAATAGTTTGGCAATTCCTGGTATGGTTAAACATAGATGACCAGCAGTGCCACTTTTAGGTATATACCCAAGAGAAATGAAAACATCTTTGTACATAAAAACGTATAGATGAGTGTTTATTGCAGTGTCATGCATGATAGCCAAAATGCGGAAGCAACCCGAATGGCCACGAGTGGTTGAATGGATAAACAAAATGTGGTAGGTCCATCCAATGAAATATTTTTCGTCCATGAAAAGGAATGAAATACTGATACGTGCTCCCGCATGGACGAACCTTGAAACCATTATGCCAGTTGCAAAGGACTGTGTATTGTGCAATATTCCATTTAGATGAACCATCTATAACAGGGAAATTAATAGGGACACAATGTATAAGTGGTTGCTAAGACTATGGGTTGGAGAATTGGAAAATGACTACTAAGGAATCATTTTTAAGGAATGTGGGGTTTCCTTTTGAGCTGACGAAAATGTTCTAAAACTGTTTATTTTGATGGGGGTACCACTCTGAAAATACTAAAAGCCATTGAATTATATATACACACTTTAGGTGGGTGAATTGTATGGTAGGTGAAAGATTTCAGTTACGCTGTTAAAAAATTAAAATGAAACAAAACAAACATCTTAGTCACCACCAAATTCTTATTATCTTTTCAGCCAAGCGTCTTCAAGACCTTCTCATGGAGAGTGTGAATTTTTCCCCTGCCAATCTCTCTAGCACTGCATCTAGGTATCTGAATGCTTTGGTTGACAGTGCAGTGGCCCTTGAAACAAAGGATACCTCACTAACCAGGTAATTTTTTTAACAGTTTTAATTTCTACAATCATATATGCTATAAGGTCTTAACCTAAAGGCTTTTTGCTTCTCAGTGTGATTCTGTGTAGGAAATTAACAGTAAATGCCAGAACACTGAATTTAATTAACTCCTTATCATTGCTAGTGAGTATGTATAATTAATTCAGATAAACTTGGTATTGGTTAAATTTTAGTGTTTTCTTCTTCAAGGATTAGGTTTGTGAAGCTTGATTCTTATGTGTATTTGGGAAAGTATTAGGTGTCAGTTATATTGTTTCCTATAAATGTGCAATAAGAAAAGCTGTAAGCTAAGTCATCTGGTTTGAGCATAGTGAATTTTGGTTATGTTCCTGCCCTGTTGGGTAGCGTAGCTACTTTATTCTTTGTTATAGGCATATTCTTTGTTATAGGCATTTCCCCTTTATAATGACATTATTTTTCCAACAACTCTAAGAGGAAACTGAAGTTCAGGAGGGGCATTAAATAACCGTGAGGTAGTGAATGGCAGAGTTAAGATTCAGACCCTGTCCAACTCCAAAGTCACTGGAATATCACAGGAATATCACTGGTGGCCATATCTTAGCTAGGATGACCACTACAACTTAACAGAGAACTGTATGGCTGTTCTGCCTCATTGCCAGAGTAAGGGCTTGGAATTTATATATATGCTCGAGAGTAGTGTTTCAGGTATAAGACCGTGTATGTTGTATGGCAGCAGACATCTAGACTTAAGTCAACTCAGCAGACACTAAATACTGGCTATATGCCACACATATATACACATACGTAGCACTGGGGAAGCAGAGATGACTGGGATAGTAACTGCAGTCAAGCGCCGTCTCTGCTCATGGTCACATAAGGGAGGTGGGCGTGTAAAACTAACTGTAACACGGTGGGCGAAGTCTGTAATGCAGGAATATACAAGCTGTTGCTAGGGCACAGAAAAAAGGGTAGTGAATTCCGGGATGGGAATACATCTTATTTGCGTTTTGAAGGACAAATGGAAATCTGCCAACTGAAGAAGGTCTTTCCAGGCAGTGGGAACAGCGTATACAAAATACACAGAGATATGAAACAGTGTGGTCATGGAAGACTCCACGCGGAGACAGAGTCATTGTTAGAAGTGATGAATAACTGTAATTATTGTCCTTGGTGTGCATTTACATGACCAGATTTTTTTTTTAAGTTTTCTCCCTGCAGTGAATGATTTGACCTCTGATCTTTTTCGTACCAAATCCAAAAATGAAGAAATCAAGCTTGAACTGACAAAAGTTGAAAAAAATTTAACTGCAAGTTTAGTGTTAGAAAAACGTCTACGAGAGTAAGTAATTGAGTTGGAAGTGGCGACAGTTTTTATGAAAAGGAAATAATAGGACTTTATTATATCTAGATTTTAAATCAATAGATATGATTTAAAACAACACACTAAGAAATTAAGTCTATAAAATGTCTTTTTCAGTAGAAAATGACTTGGATGGAGATGAAGGGGTGGTTGTATACAGACTTTGACATTGTACTTTTGCAGTTTCTTACTTCTTTTGTCTTTTTTACAAATAACCTGGGTTTTATAATTCTCAAAATGTATGTGAAATTTTTTTATATATGAACTACAGAGCAACTTAAAGCACATTATATTTTGTTGCCTTTAAAAACAGGTTTTTTTTTACTAGTGCTCTGCTTTCCCTCTTGATGTTCTGGAACTTTTTCAAGTCCCTGTCACCCCCAAGATTAGATGCTGGGCATCAGGAGTGTGTATGCGCACAAGTAATTCAATAAGTGTTGACTGTGTCATGCAAGGCACTGTGCATGTTGCGTTTAGGAGAGAGGCCTTTTGAGACCTCCACAATTCAAACTGACTTTAGGGTATATTAAGTCACTTTTTTGAGCAGCAGATTTACTTTTTCTAAGAGTAATTGGCATAAATTAATTTTAAAATTATTTCCCTTTTTTTAAAGATTTTATTTATTTACTTTTACAGAGGGGAAGGAAGGGAGAAAGAGAGGGAGAGAAACATTGATTGGGTTACCTCTTGCATGCCCCCTACTGGGGACCTGGCCTGCAACCCAGGCCTGTGCTCTGACTGAGAATTGGACCAGCAACCTTTCAGTTCACAGGCCAGCACTCAATCCACTGAAACACAACCGCCAGAGCTATTTCATATTTCTTGAGAAAAATCCCAGATGGCAACGTGGAACAGGGGTTGACCTGGAAAAATGCCTATTAACTAGTCTGGGATATAAAATTTATGGTAGAAAATCCAGCAAGTATTTTAGCTACTTTTGTCCACTGCAGAGTTGAATCCAAAAAGTAATATAATTTTTTAAATAATAATTTCACTGAGGACAAGAAAATGTTTTCGATTTTACTTTTTAAAGGGATCTCAAGAAGGCAGAGCTTCACCTGTCTGCGGAAAGGGCCAAGGCTGACCATCGTCTCCAGAACAGGGACTTCCTGAAAGCGAAGTCAGAGGAGTTCAGATTTGGAATCAAAGCCGCAGAGGTATGTATGTAGTTGGACTGAACGTGGTAGATCTCTTTATGCTTCTTTTTGACCTTTATCTTCACGACTAGGCAGTATTAGTATTCCCTGTTTACAGACAAAGGAACTAACCACAGAGAAGGTAGGTAACTTGCCCAGCGTTACACAGCTATCGTGCTTGGCAGTGGATCCAGATGCAAATGCAGGCAGCTGGGCTTGGCAGCTCAGGACCTTGAGACGCACCGCACCCATCTTACCGAGAATCCGTGGCTGGGGAATTGATCGGCACGCAACATGAAAGTGTTTAGATGCATGCGTTGTTTTTCATCTGTGATTTGTAGCTTCTCTTTACAGGGCTATATGTTGAAAATATTTCCTGATGATCACTTTGAAAATAATTGTCTTAAGCAAACCCGCCCCTTTTTTGTAACTGTAGGAGAAACTTTTAGCCCGAGGCATGGATGCTTCGTTGTCTCATCAGTCACTGGTAGCGCTTTCAGAGGTGAGCTTATTTTAACCCAATTTAACTTTCTTTAAAATCCTAGTGCACAGTCTCCATTTTTACTTCTTTTTATAGAGCTTGGTTCACTATTAACCTGATTTCTTTTTCTTTACCTCTGTGCTTTATGTTCACCAGTATTTATCTCTTTATTCCTTGTTTAGCTGTATGTATCCTCACATTTGCTTGGTTTTCTTTTTCTTTTTTGGAGATGGCAAAATACATAGTGATTTAATTAATGAATTTGATGAACGACTTAAGTAGGTTTTCTTTATTTATTACTATATACTAGAAACTGCTGGAGTCAGTTATACATTATTGATTCACTTATTAAACAAATTTATTGAGGAACTATGAGTTAACCATCTAGGTCTCCTTTTCTTTCAGCGTAGAATAAAAATTCAGGCCCCAAAACTCCTGAAGAATGCAATTCTGGGTTTTTAGGTTGTATAAGGATTTTATCTATTTTGGTGGGAAGAGGGAGTAATAGAGCCTTTGTTTTATTATTCATAAGACTTTTTTTGTGCTTTGATTTTTGGAATCTAAAGTTGACAACTTATAAATATATCTTTGAGATTCTGCTTCCCTTACATTTGAATTCCTCTTAGTCACATTATTTAGAGTGCTTAGACAGCATACTTAAATCCTATTTTTAGTAAATGGGAGTATAACTTTTCTATTTTAAGCATCTTATAAGTGCTGTTTCCATTGGAAACACGTTTGTCTGTTTACATTGATTTGTCTGCTTATCTTTGAAGCTCTTTATGTGAGACATTATTTAAAATATCCTAATGTTACTTCTCTACTGTGTGTTATTTCAGAAATGGGCAGTATTTAGTTGCATTGTGAATATCTCTATTGCTTTGTGACGCTGTGTTTTTTTCATCCCCAGAGACTAGAGGAACTAAAACAACAGACTATACCTTTGAAGAAAAAATTGGAGTCCTATTTAGATTTAATGCCGGTAATTATTTTTATGAATTAAAAAATGAAGATATCTTTTTTAGTGCTTTCCCCAGAGGCACTAAGTGATCATGAGTATAGTGAGCCCCTGCGTGAGGATTTAAGTCCAAGCTGAAGTTTCAGTGGGTGTCCTCTCTGCCAGGTTTTTTAACTTTTGAAAAGAATCGTTATATTTTTTCCCCTTGAGTCCTAATTGAGGCAATATAACCTTTCCTTGTTTTGTTTTTCTTTAAAAGAATCCATCTCTTGCTCAGGTGAAAATTGAAGAAGCAAAGCGAGAACTAGTAAGTTCCATTTTTTCTTCAGGTTTTAAAAAAGACATAAACTAAATGCTGATATAGATAATGTTCCCTTCTTCCTCCTCAAAGCCGAACCGGTCCCAGAGTCACTGTGTATCATTCCCATGCATCTCTGAATACTTTGGGCATATTTTTCCATTAAAAAAATACATAGTGGTCTGTTATATCTTTTAAATTTTTGCTTAGATTTTCTTGGTAGAAGGGTGGGAGTGTGAGACACAATATTCTAGACAAAAGGAATTGACCAGGTCACACGAGCCGAAAGTAGAGGGCTTCTCCAAGCTCTGGCAAGTGATGAGGTGCAGCTGCCTGGGAGTGTTCAGTGGAAGGCAGGGCTGAAGATCTGTCAGTTTATACTGTGAAGAGCCTTTGATATGAAGAGAATGGAGTCTGTAGGGGACCAGTAAAGTTGCTGCATGTTTCCTTGTTTGTTAAGCAAAAGAGAAACATGATCGAAGCTACACTTTTTGATCAGGCCGGTTATTTAGAAAGAGGATTCTGGAATCAGCGTATGGGGTGGATTGGAGGAGAGAGAAAGAAAATTGCAGGAACCTGTTGGCCTGTTCAGGCCAGATGAGAAGTAATGAGAACAGTGGCAGCGAGAGTGGAGAAGAGGTGATGTGAGAGACACTACGGAAGTATGTTGTTTAAGGAGTAAAGGTCAGGAAAAACTACTCTGTGTCATTATAACCAGTTCATCTCCCTGACATCCCCCCATTTGGATGTGTATTAGGATCAAGAGTCTGAAAAACTTCTGGGGTCTAAAGACATATTTAATATTTATAATGTTTTTTTACATTTTTGTTTTCTTTTTTCTGTTTTCCTTATTTTAAATAGTATTTCAGGTGATTTTTTCTTCCTTTAGGACACCATTGAAGCTGAACTTACAAAGAGAGTAGACATGATGGAACTGTGAACGGAGCCAAGTAAACTTTGTCTTCTCCAATGAAGTAAATTAAATAGGACTTTAAAGAATGTTTCCTTGCCGTGGTTGGTGTGGTTCGGTTGGGCATTGTCCTGCAAACCGAAAGGTCTCCTATTCAATTCCCAGTCAGGACATGTGCCTGGATTGCTGGTTTGGTCCCTGGTCGGGGCCATATACGGAAGGCAACTGATTGGTGTTTCTCACGTCATTGTTTCTCTCACTCCCTTCCTCTCTCTCTGTTAAAAAAAAAGGATTGTTTCCTCTTGGTATTCCTTAATAACTTAGTGTCTGTGTTCTTAGACAAGATGATGTCACTGTTGATAGGATAGTGGCTTCTGCTATGTATTGCATTTTGTGCCCAAATACATAGTTTTCACATTAAAAATGTTGGTTTTCTATGTGGTCGGTGGTCAGCGTCCTTCAGTAGCTCTATGCGGGGAATGTTAGGACAGTTGTTGCGCGGTCACTCACAAGGTCAGGAAGTGAAAAGGAAAGGTTCTGGAGGTCCAGGTATGTTTCCCCCGCTCTCCCCTCCAGGGGTTTGCACTGATCAGCTCACCTGCCTACCTCCAAATGTTCATATGTGCAGGAATTTCGTTTATGAAAAAGATGGCCTTTAAAATCCGTGCTGGAGAGATGGATAATTCAACACTTGGTGCTAAATCCATTCACACCTTATGTCAGGATAGTTTCAAAAGATCCGAGATTTAAATATTTTTTAAAAAGTACAAGAAATCATGGAGGAGTCTTAATGTTTTCATTTTTACAGAATTACAGTGAGAAATATATGATAAAAATCTAGAAACCATAAATGAAATATTTGAAAAATTTGAAATATTAAAAACTCCTGCACGGCAGAATCTTTCATGGATATGACAGATGTGGTGAGAAGAAAGAGAAATTTTTCACAGTGTACCTTTCTGTGCTTTAAAAAACGTTATACCATGTGATTAGGAAGCAGTCAGGTTTTTAAAGATTATTCAAATGACCTTAAACATTTCCTTCCTCTCCTTTTCCACAAACATGTAGCTAAATATAATACAAAATACAAAAACCGGGGGCGGGGGGCGGCGGATTGTATTTCCTGTTTTGAAACTGTCCATATTCTTTAGCCATTTACGTATTGAGGTTTGGTATTTGTCTTAATTTACAGGAGCTCCTCATATATTCGCTGAACTGCTGTTTTTGTGATTTCACTTACAAATATTTTCCAACTTTGTCACTTTTGACTTAATTGCAGGCCTTTTGGCAAGGCAGCCTGGCAGACTGACTACGGTAATGACCATGACAATCCCTCTGCACTCAGTCTTAGCATCTCGTCTCGACCACTTCTCCGGTGGAGAGGTGCAGTCTCTGTCTCCATCTCTTGCATCTGACTTGGCCCTGTGATTTGTTTTGGTCGATGAGAAAGTAGCAAATGTGACACCAGCAGAGAATTAAAACCTGCTGACGCATTAGAACTTACCCTCTGTTGCTGCTCTAGAATTCTCAGGCCGCAGGCAAATCTATAGGAGGATGAAAAACTGTATGGAGCGGTAACTCCAGCCGAGCCCCGCCCCCACCCTCAGAACCAGCAGGCTGCCTACGGCCAGATCCCTGAAGGAGGCCTTCTCAGACCAGCCCCCCAGCCCCCAGCGAGTCATGGGCAGATTCAGAGGTAAATCAAGCCCAGGCCAGAAGCCCACAGAGTCAACCTGTGGAATTGTGAAGACTAATAAAACAGTTGTTCTTTCAAGCTTATCTTAAGTTTTGGGCTGGTTGTTATCTGTAGCAGCTAATTAATAAAAGTAGCTTTTGAAATTAATGTTCAAAGAAAAAAGTAAACATACAAAAAAAGAATCATAAAGAAACTTAGGACCAGCATAATTTTATAAAACAGTAGCTATGTTAAATGTAAGCGAGATGGTGTTTAATTAAAAGGCAAAGATTGAAACAATATGCTTTTAGAAAACTTCCAAGTATATGCTGTACATGAGAGAAATATATTTAAAGTATGGATAGGTGGATCCATAGTCATGGTGGATAGAATACAAACTTCTCTCAGTAATTGATAAAACAGGCAGAAAAAAACCAGCAAGGATATTTAGACAACACAACAAACCTGATCTGATGGACTTGTAAAAAGTCCTATACTGCCCTGGCCGGGTGGCTCAGTTGGTTGGAGCATCGACCCACACACTGAAAAGTGGATTTAATCCCCAGTTGGGGCACGTACAGGGGGCAACCATTCGATGTTTTTCTCACATCAGTGTTTTTGTTTTTCTTGTTCTCTTTCCCTCTCTATAAAATCAATAAGCATGTCTTGGGGTGAGGATTCAATGAAGAAAAAAAAAAGAATCCTATACAAACTGCCACAGGATGCATGCTCTTTTCAAGTGCATTCAGAACATTTACAAAAACTGTCCCAACAGTGGGCAGTGACAGAACTCTCAACCGTCACAGAAGGACCGGAATACAGAGCATCTTCTCTCACCATCGTGCATTCAGACAAAAATAAATAACTGGAAAATTATGTGTTTGGAATTTAAGAAGTACATTCTAAATAACCTATGAATCAAAGAAATTATAGTATGAATTAGAAAATACTTAGAACTGAAAAATAATGAAACAATTCTGTACATCAGACCTGTGGATTTTTGCTTTGGGCCATGATGGAGTCAGTGATGAGATTGACTGTCTTGCTTTAAACAAAAACAAACAAAAAATCGGTAACCACATTCTTCAGACATTGAATAACAAAGAAGCACAGGAAATTCATAAGATAATAAAAAGAAACAATGAGTATGGACTATATATTAGGTAATATTGTATCAATCTTAGACTTCCTGAATTTGATCATTTTACTGATTATCTAAGTAAGCCCTATCGCTGCCCAAGCTGGCTGCACGCAGGGAGTTTCTAGTCCATAGCTCAGGGAGGGAGAGCCCGGGCAGTCTCATCCAGTCGAGGAGGAAGATGAGAATTTGAGAGAACCAAAGTAAAATTTGAGAAACAACCCTGAAGTGCTTTGGAGATTGGCAGAGGTGTTTTCTCAAGTCTGGTTGAACTACCAGAAAAAAGACTCATGGGCACGGATTTGCATACACACGAGGAGACCACCCAAAGCCGGTGGAAGAACTGCTGAAAAACCGCAACATGCGAAGGGCTATGCTATTCCATGTTCCTGGGAGCCAGAGCAGAACCACTTCCCAGTACAGGGAGCACTGAGTAGGGTCTTCAGGAGGATATTTGCACTAGTAGTGGTGCCAGGGAATGTGGCCGTGTTCCAATAAACTGTTTACAAAAACAGGTGGCAAGTCAGATTGGCTCACAGGCAGCACCTCGCCGACTCCTGCCCTACAACAGTAGCGACCAAAGTAAAAGAGCCAACCGTGGAGATAAAGTGGAAGTACAAAAAATGCTCAGTCCAAGAGAAGGCAAGAAAGGAGGGGGAAGGGGACTTAAGGAGAAATGAGACAAGTAGAAAACAAATAAGATGATAGATTTATACAAAACCTTATCAATAATCATATTAAATGTAAATGGTTTAAACACTAAAAGGCAGACTGTCAGCTTAAATTTAAAAATCAAGACAATTAAATGCTGTCTACAAGCAACCCACTTTAAATATAAAACACAAGTTAAAAGTAAGATCATGGAAAAAGTATACAATGTAAACATAATAAAAGTTTACAGTAACATCAAGATGTCAGAGCAGGAGTATTACCAGGGGTAAATATGCTTATTTCACGATAAGAATGCCAAGACCATCCAATGCAAAAAGGATAGACTCGAACAAATGGCTCTGGGACAAGCAGGTCTCCCCATGCAAAGGAGTCAGGTTGGCGCTTTACCTCACACTAGATATAAAAACTAACTCAATGAATTAAAGCCCCCAGTATAAGAACTAAAACTACAAAGCCATTAGAAGAAAAGAAAAAGAAATCTGCATAATCTTAGATTTGGCCCAGAATTTTACAATATAATGCCAAAAGCACAAGCAGTAAAAGGGAAAAATAGATAAACTGGACTTCATGAAAATGAAAAACTTCAGTGTTTTAAAGGACCCCATAAGAAAGTGAATAGACAATTCACATGATGAGGGCACATATTTGCAAGTCATATACCTGATAAAGGTCTTGTATCCAGATCTACAAAAACTTACAAACTGAATTATAAAAGGCAAATAACCCCATTTAAAAATGAGTGGGGTACTACAACAGTATGGATGGCCCCAGAGAACATTATGCTGAGTGAACTAAGCCAGTCAGAGAGAGAAGTACCATAGGATCTCTGCTATGTGGAATCTAATGAACAGACTGAACTAACAAGGAAAACAGGGACAGGCTCGTATGGAGAGCAGATGACAGCTAAGCAGGGTGAGGAAGTTAAGGGGTGGAGGGATTGAGCAGAAAGGAAAAAGACTCATGGGCACGGACAACCGTGTGGTGATTGCTGGGGGAAAGGGGTATAAGGGGACTAAAAGGTAATGGAAAATATACAATAAAGATTTTTTAAAAATGGGTGAGGGATTTGAATAGACATTTTCCCGATGGAGATACATGGATGCCCAATAAGCACAGGAAAAGATGCTTGACATTATTAGTTATTAGGGAAATAAAAGTCAAAACCACAATGATTTACTATCTCACACCCAGTAAGAAAACTAGAATAAAAGATAGTAAGTGTTGGTGACGATGTAAATGAATTGGAACCCTCAGACACTAATGAGGGCTGTAAAATAGTGCAGCCGGTTTGCAAAACAGTTTGGCAGGATCTCAAGTGATTAAACATGGAGATACCATATAACCCAGCAATTTAACTGCTATGTACATGTTGTATACCCAAGAGAAATGAAAATGTGTCCATACAAAACATACAGGAAAGTTTGCAGCAGCATTATTCACAACCACCCAAGTGTCCATCAGCTGATGGGTGGGTAAACAAGATGTGGCATATCCACACCACGGAATGTTATTCAGCCACAAAAAGGAGTGCAGTACCCATACGTGCTTCAACATGGGTGAATTTTGAAATCATTATGCTAAAGGGAAGAAGTCAGACACAAAAGATCTTGTGCTGTAGAATGTCATTCATGTGAAATGTCCAGAAATGCTTAGAGATAAAGCAAATTGATGGTTGCGTAGGGCTAGAAGGATGAGGAATGTGGGTGACAGGTAAAGGGTATAGAGTCCCTTAGAGGTAAGGTGTCACCTGTCTGTGAATGCACTGAAAGCCACTGAGTTATATGCTTCAGCTGGGTGAATCGTATAGTGTGTGAATTACATCCCAACCCTGCTGAAGAAAAGGAATGCAGAGTAACAAACAGATAAAGTTAGTGAAGTGAGCCATCTAGCCCAGGAAGTTAGAAAGAGAAAAACAAAGCCAAAGAATCAAACAGAAAGAAATAACAAACATA